TTTGGGGTTTAAGGTTTAGGGGTTTACGGGTTTAGGGTTTAGGGTTTGGGGTTTAGGGTTTAGGAGTCGCGGTCGACTTGCACGAGTGTGTATACAGGCTCAGCGACTGGAGCCGAGGACATCCATCTTTCACTTGAACCGGCTAGTTTCCCTAGGTTCCCCAGTAGTACCCTAAACCCCAAAACCCTAAACCGTTTCCTTCTTAAAGCCGAATATAGGAAACAGGGTCCCCTAATCATTATTCTAACTACTATATTTATGATTACTATTATTGTTATTGTTATGATTATTATGATTATTATTGTTATTAAGGGGTTACCGGAGAACCTACGGGTGACGATATAAATCCTGCATCACCCAGAATAAGGAATAGACCATTATTCCCATAGTTTTAGGGTTTAGGGTTTCGGGTTTTGACCATAATGATTCCCACAGCTTAGGGTCCTAAACCCTAAACCCTAAACCCGTGTAGGTTTTGGGTCCTGAAGGTAATGCAGAATTTATATCATCAACAATAGGATCCTAAATCCCAAACCCTGAACCCTGAACCTTAAACACAATCCCTGAGAGTCCCCTGTAATTATCATCATCGGTATGGCTCTTAGTAAGTGGGTTATAAGTAGAGCTATAAGTGCCCTAAATGGAGTTACCCTAATTATAACCTTACTTACAACAGCCCTGGGCCTCCAAGTAACCCCTATAAACCCTATAAACCCTAAACCTTAACCCCTAAACCCTGTAAGCCCTAAACCCTAACCCCTAAACCCTGTAAACCCTAAACCCTAACCCCTAAACCCAACACCCTATAAACCCTAGACCCTATACCCTATACCTATAAACCCTAGACCTATAACAGCCCTGGGCCTCCAAGCATGGCCATGGCCTAGGCGAAACGTGTGAGCAGGAGAACTTCGAGATTCAGGCGACGTTCCCAAACGTGCTGGCGCATCATCAAGGTTTAGGGTTTAGGGGTTTACGGCTTAGGGTCTGGGGTGTAAGGGTTTACGGAATTAGGGTTTAGGGTGTTGGGGTTTAGGGGTTTAGAAGGGTTTAGGGTTTAGGGTCTGTAAGGGTTTAGGGCGTTTAGGAATTAGGGTTCTTAAGGAGGCAGGGTGTATAAGGGTTTTAGGGCGGCTTTCTAAGGGGTCAGGGCTAATCTACGGTTGATGATATAAATCCTGCATTACCCATAATCAGGAATAGACCATAGTTCCCATAG